CCTTACCGGTCATCTTAAAAAAAAAAAAAAAGTCAAGTTTGGGCCTGCCCGTGGCTCACTCAGGAGAGTGCAGTGCTAGTAACACCAAGGCCATGGGTTCGGATCCTAAAAAAAAAAAAAAAAAAAAGTCAAGTTTGATTCAGTTTATACATGGAATTGAAAACTCTCAGCTCCAGACTGTTTCCTGAATGAATCTGTTTTAGACTTCTACAGCCTGCAATCCTGGACATATTTACCCAGGTTGGAGTTTGTGAGAGGTTTCTGTTGTCTCTATTTTGTTTGTTTGGCTTTTGAAGCTATGCTTGGCTTGAGGACTGTTGAAAGTAAGTAGAAAAAGGAGCCAGGTGAGTCTCCTCCAGCAGGTTCAAACATTCACCAGAGCCCTAGGGCTGGTGGATTGGAGAAATGGTTCACAAACTTTTTTGTGCCTTAGCATCTCCTAGAGGACCAGTGGTTGGAGGCAGAGCTAGGAAATTTGCATCTTTAACAGCTTCCCTGGTGTTCTTTCATCCAACAGATGCTGTGCACCTTATATGTAGCATGCCCTGGAGATTTAGCAGTCAAGGAAACAGGCATGATTTCTTCTCTCTTGGGATTTACTGTCAAGTGACAGAGACAAACATTAGATCATTACACAACTCATTATTTAAATTACAGTTGTGATCAGGGCCTCAAAGGAGAAATAATGTGAGGTGCTGTGAGGGCATTTACAATTTAGCAGCAGAGCCTTTTCTTCCAAAGAAATATGTTGGACTTTTGCAGAAACTACAACACATACGAGAAGAGTGGTTTTCCACCACTGAAGCACCTTGGAACCTGAGGGCTCCATGGAACAGAATTAAAAACTGCTTTTTATCTACATTCCTCTGTAGTGGATGCTGTGATGTGCTACCCAGACTGTGGCACTCATTCCTTCCTGCAGCCCCCACTCCATTGGGAGTGTTGGCTGCTGAAGGATTTCAGCTAAGTCCCTGTCTGGGAACTGCTCTGGATTGAAGGGAACAATTTAGCTCACAGTTATGCCCCCTCTAGGCAGTCTGCCTCGAATGACTCGTTGATGAGAGAGGAGTGTACAAAGGCCTAGCCCCTTTGCCTCCATTTGAAACAAGTCTGAAGGATTATCCCAGATCTAGCACCTGCCTTAGGATCAGCTGGGTCCTCTGATGCAACTGCATTGCAGCTCAAGTTCTGCCCATGTCTGCTGCTCACTGACCTATGATATCGATCCCCAATAAAGCTCCTGTATGCAGATTTCCATCTCAGAAACTGCTTACCAGGTTCGGACATTCTCTCATTACTTAAGACAGTCTCTTATTACAGATGGTGCAAATAAAGACCAGACAGGGGAAATGACTCTCTTGAGGTCTCACAAGCCTAAACCCTTCAGATTCTCTTCACATCTGTCACCACCCTGGGCCAGAGTCCTACAGCTTCCCACCTTACTCCCTCTTCCTGAGGCTGGAGGTGATAGCTGCAATGCCCAGAATAGGCTATCACTCCCATGGCTGGACACCTTGGGCAAGTCACTTCTCTCTGGGGAGAAGGTTAAGTACGCTGCCTGAGTCCTCCATCTTCCTCCATGTTTGTCTGTGTGTCATGACTCTAGTCCTAAGAAAAAAACATCTCAGCTGGTTATAGCAACAGATCTTTCCTCCCATGTCCACATCACCTCTGACCTCACCCTTGGTTCCTGTTGGGAGGGGCGGGAACCTTGAGCTTCTCTCTCATTTCTGAGCATCCGAACTCACATTTCACAAAGGAACCTCTTTTCTTTATTCATGCCAGTATCTTCGAGTACTTACTGTGTCCCAGACACTGCTAGATGCTGGTAGTACACAGTACAGTACCAAATGTGACAGACACAGTCTTGGTCCTCATGGGTCTGAAAGTCCAGTGGGGAAGATGAACACCATACAAATACTTGTGATAAGCCCTGGGGAGATAAAAAGCATAGGGAGCCATAGACAGTACAGCCTACCCTGGACCTGAAGCATAAGAAAGAATTGGCCAAGGAGGGAGGGGAGAAAGGAGTGTGGAACAAAGAAGATTTCTGGCAGAAGAAACAGCATGGGAGAAGATCCAAGCAGGAAGGAGAAGGCTGCCTTGTAGGGACAGAGAGAGCAGGGAGACATGAGGAAGGCTGAGGATGGAGAAGAAAGCCCAGGGCAGATCTGGCAGGAACCTTGCAGTGCAGTGTCAAAAATTTTGGACTTTATCCTATGGACAATGGAAAGTTTTCAAAGGAGATTTTGTTCTTTATTACAAAATTGATAATGTTAACTAGAAGAGGGAGAGAAAGAGGTAGTAAGACTTACTTAGGACCTCCTAAATGCCAGGTGTCAGTGCCAACTAAGTACTTCACAGGCATGATCTTATTTAGTCCTCAATGCAGCCCTATAGTGTCGAGCCTATTATTTCCATTTTATGGAAGGGCATAATTGAGCATAGGCTCAAGAGTCTCCCATGCAAAAAGGTATCTGGCTCCCCATCACCACCCAGAGGATACGTCTTCCTTCTTTGACCCTTATAAAGTGCTTCTATTTTTCCAAGGCATATTTTCTGTCTAAGATTTTAATCATTTGCGTGGCTCCCTCATCTCCCAATTCAACCACAAGCCCCATGAAGACAAAGATTTTTATCTGGTGTGTTCACTGCTTTATTTATCTCCAGAGCCTAAAACAGGGCCTGACACATATTAGGGGCTGAATAAATAGGTGTGGAATACATGTTTGTATCCCCCAGGATGCCTGGTCTACTGCGGGGCCCGGGTGGCTGTGGACTCAGCCTCTGCACTGGTCATCTCTCCCTGCCTAGTTGTCTGTTACGTGGCCAGCACTCAGACACTCAGCGTCAGTCTAGCATCAGGGAAAGAGCTGGGTGGCTGTGGACTCAGCCTCTGCACTGGTCATCTCTCCCTGCCTGGTTGTCTGTTACGTGGCCAGCACTCAGACACTCAGCGTCAGTCTAGCATCAGGGAAAGAGCTTGGACTTTGGAACCAGACAGATGAGGCTCAAATCTGAGTGCAAGCCCATCTGGAATGAGGCACAGTATAAAATAAACAGAACCAAGTGTCTGTGTGAGCTTTGTTAACTTTCTTTAATTTCATCATCTATAAAATGGGAATGTTATGGAGCTGGCTGGTTATCTCAGTTGGTTAGTGTGGTGCTGACAACACCAAGGTCCAGGGTTCGATCCCTGTACTGGCCAGCAAAAAAATAAAATAAAATGGGAACGTTACCATCTACATTAGAAAAAAATGTTGTCAGGATCAAATGAGGAAATGTTTATAAAGTGCCTCTTTAGTTAATTTAGTTCTTCCCTTCAGCAAAAGACAGAGATTTGGTCAATGCCATTTTCTTAGACTCAAAACCTCAGTTTCT